AGCCAACTAAGGTAAAGATTACGAGAATACATTACTGTGACGGGACATAAGAAACTTAGAACTTTAAAATCATCTGCTTGTCACAAGCCAAAGAGTTTTGCTATTTATACATTAAAAAGTACAATTAAGTTTTCCTTTCTCAGCATGGTATTAAACATAATCAAACTTTATAAATACTTCTTAAATATTTTTGCCGAAGGAGAAATCTGCTACTTTCAACTGCAATTTTGAAACGCTCAAATATGTATAGACAAGCTGCTGTATTTTATATAAATGAATGTATTCATAGAACAAACTTTAAATTTCAGAAAACAACACAGATTGCAGAAGTTTAAATTCCTGTTCTTATTCCAATAGAAATGAGTAATGTGACCATTTTGGGAATGGTGGCAAATGATTGAGGAGGAGTGCGTTTCTACGCTTACTTAAGACTGCTATTTTGTGGAGAAGCACTTGTGGTCTGGTGACTCAGGCTGGGAGCAGTAGGTAGCTACCCAGTTCCATGTTTTAAATTTGGCTTCCACTGCTCCATCTGGCCTGGACTAGCTCTGAGAGCTTGTCTAGGTAACACTGCCCTCTCCTGGAAGTACCAGACCTCCTCAGTCCTTTAGCCCAACACAATGTGTTGTGGGGCTGGATTGCAAAAAACCAGGAATTAGTCACTAGTGAGAAATTTGACGCCGAGAAGGCGTGAGGGGCTGTGACTGTAAACAGGTTATTCTCAGACCTCTGAAAGAACTCTGAGTGCTTGCTCTGCAGTGGCTGCTTCCCCCAGAAGGATAGAGCAGTACTGAAGTTCGCACATAACCCATCACCAGCAACTGTCCTGAAAAACTAGGAGCTGTGAGAAGATTTGTCAACCAAATCTCAGTGTGAATTTCTTCTGCTACTCTAGATCAGGTTAATTACTTATGATTTATTGTAGATCTTTGCATTATCCTTAAAACTACTTAAATGCACTACTTTCTTATTTCTATTTTTTATTTTTTTTTACTTTAAAAAGAAAAAATTACAATAACAAAATAACAACAGCAAAGACAAAAACAAAACAATGCAAAAATAATGAAAATGATACAGGATTTCAAAACAAGATGATAGGAATTGACAGTGGTTGTTATATCACATATTGTTATCTTCAATGTAGTTGCTCAGATTACCAGTTGTAAGAATACCAGACTGATCAAGCAGTTAAAGGGAATAAAAAGTAATAACAAAAATTAGAAATAATACCTCTTTTCTACCAAGAGTTAAATGTCACTACACAAGATGGTAGGAATTCAACAATGGTTGTTATACTCATATTGTCGTCTTCCAATTAGTTGTTCACTTGCTATTTCAACAAGAACACAGTCTTAAGATGATGGTCACATTTTCAGGATGAGACTTTTGCCTTAGAGCACCCGAAGCAGCACTCTCTTTCTGGTACCTTTTCATGGTGGCATTTTGGGTTTACCTCTATCTGCACAGAGTTGTCCACATGTGTAGACAGGAGGCACCTGTTTGCACAAGAAAACAAGAAGGTGAGGGTCCATGAGCCACATGACCCAAGCTATCCTAACTTCTCACTACTTTACAATTAAAACATCTCTTGGTCTCAGCTGTCTAACACAGGGAAACCTAGAAGTGGCGGTGAGGATAACAAAACTCCGTGGCATCCCATTTATAAATGTGGTCCTGTGCTTTCACTCAGTGTCTACTTTCTCTTGGTTCATGCAAATCTTTTAAGGTTGACTCAAAAGATACGACAACTCCAATTGACGGGATAAGATTATGAGTCAACAGAATGGTCTGAGGAATGGACACACACAGCAGTGCAAAGCTCTACTCTTGGTAGCAAAGAGGAGACAGAAAGAAAAGGTGGAATTAAAGGCGTTGTAGTCCCTGCCGCTTTTCAAAGGGACCAGCACTCACATGTGCCTGCTCAGCAGAGCCTCGCAGTTAATTTCATCATAACGCCCTGATTAGTAGAACAGTGGTGTCCCATGTCATCCAACTTTGAGTGAAGAACGGATCCACAGTTTCCATTTATTTAGGTTTCTATTATAAAGAAGTTAAAATAGGTAGAAATGTCATGAAGTTGTCCTCAGCTATTCAGAAAATTCAACCAGTTGGAAGAGGGTGTAAAATTAAGAGAATTTGCTGGTTTTTGGGACTGGCACATTGCAACATAAAATTGCTTTATTCAAGCCGTTCAATAAAAAGTACATTGTGCTGCATCTGCCCCGTGCCAGGCAATGTTCTAGTCAGTAGAGCTGAGCACTCCCGGTCCTGGCCCGCCTCGAGTGTGAATTCCATTGGAGGAAGGGAAACATAATAAAGATAAGTAAATAAATATATACAGAACGTGAAATGGTGAAAATATTTTTGGAAATATGAACTAGGAGGCAGAGAAACGAAGCCTGAGTGAAGGTGGGGGATGTAGCGGTTCTAACTAGCCTAGGGAGGAGCGGTCTTCCTGAAACATGGTTTTGGGTGCAGAAATCGCAAAAAGGGGATGAAGCAGCCTTGCAAACGTGTGGTAAGGATTTTGTGCTCATTTCCTCTCTTATCCTCAGATCTCTCTTTGTGCTCTCTGACTCTGAGAGTCCTTGAACCTGACGCTGATCTTCTGTTTCACTGCCGGCCCATCACCTCAGATCCACACGTTTCTACACCGCATCATCAGCCACAATTGCTCCTCCTCACACTTCCGCTCTGCTCCTCTGCCTCCTCTTGGTTCTTCACGCCTGCCTGGTAGAGTCTTGGCCCTGAAGAAATCCAAATTGTCTTCCATTTTGTGCTCCTTGCCCATCTTGTTACAATAAAGACCGTCAACCTCAACTGAGCAATCAGTGTTGCCCAAACTCAGACCACAGTATTCTTCTAATTTGTGGAAAAAAAATTTCATAATAAAATAATGGGAGAATCACAAGAGTTAATATATTACATGTTGTTATCTTTAAAGTAGCTGCTCAGGGTACAAGATCTGGACACAAGATTTTCTCCAATTGATAGTAGCACAAACCTCCCTTTTTAATGAACTAAGAAGCACTAATAGCGTAACTGACTTGCGTTTTTTCCCTTTTCCTTACTGTCCTTTTTCCTTTCATGCACCCCAGTTCCTTCTTCCTTTTCAAAAATTTCTTCCCATTTCACAATATCTGTTGTGCATTTTAGAACTTACTTATTCTTTCTCACATCAGGGAGACAACATAATGTTTACACACATGAGTCTGATTTATTTCACTTATGACTACAGTCTCCAGTTGCATCCACTTACCTATGAGTCTCAAGTTTATCCTTCTTTATGGCTGAGTAGTATTCCATTGTATAAAAATACCACATCTTTTTTATCCATTCTTTGGTTGATGGGCATTTGGGTTGTTTCCAAGATCTAACTATTACAAATTGTGCTGCTATAAACATGAGTGCCTATATATCACTGTGATATGATGTTTTTAATTGTTCTGGGATGATACTCAGAAGGGGAATAGCTGGGTGGAATGAGGCTTCTAATCCTAGTTTTCTGAGGAATCTCCAAACTGATTTCCACAGTGGTTGTCCCAGTCTACACTCCCACCAACAGTGGAGAATGGTACCTTTTTCCCCACAGCCCCTCCAGCATTTGTCGTTGGTTGGTTTTTCGATGATGGCCATTTTTTCTGGAGTGAGATGGAATCTCGGTGTTGTTTCCATTTGTATCCCTTAGATGACCGGTAATTATGAACATTTTTCATGAATTTATTTGCCATTTGTGTTTCTTCATCTGAGAATTGTGTGTTCACTCAGATGCTCAGTTTTTGATGGAAACCACAGCATCCTTGTACCTTTCCTTTTGCACAGCCCAAGGGAATGTCATGCCTTTTCTTGCTTTGTTTTAATTCCATTTCACTCACAGTTTGTAAGATAGCTTCCAGTTTCACGGAAAGCAAAACAAAGAAAACCAAAAAAAGCCTCAATGCAAAGAAACCTTTAACAAGCCGCTGCTACCAAACTGACCCATCCTCCGGCTTGGTCCTGCCATCCCTGCTGCCATTCTAGATGGAAAATCCATTCAGCTATGCAGCTGCAGCACCTCCTTTGGATACCCCTTGCAACTGATGTTGCCGGGCCCAGGACGCCTCAGTAATCTCTCCTGCATCATTATTTTGCCCCACCTCTACTGAATATTACTGATCAGTGTGCAAACTTTCTAGGTCTCTTTTCAGCCCCGTGTCTTTGACACTATCCTCTCGTTCCTTGCTTGTCAGTACAATAAAATGCAGAAGAGCTGCCCACTTTGCATCTGGTCCCTCTTGCTCCCAGGCAGCTTCTGAAGAGCTTGGTGAGCAATTAGACCAGCCCGACACTGTGACCAGCCTCCAAATACTGTTTTCTCACCCTACCAACAGCCTCTACTGTGCTAAACCCAGGGATTATTTTTCAGTTTTCATCCAGATTGACCCATCCATACCATTGTACCCAGCTATCATCTTCCATCAGCTGTTTTTATTGTCTGCCATCTAGTAGGTCTTAAAGAGATTTAGATAGAAGCACAGTAGGGTATGGAACCCTGAGCCAGCGGGGGAAGTATAATGTGAAGTAGATTTGTATAGTATCTCACATTTTCAAAGAAATCCAAATATTGTATATGTTAATCTTTACAGGAATCCCAGTGAAAACATTTTTTTCAGATGAAACATCTTAAGAAGGAAAAAGAAAGGATAACTTCACAGCAGTAGGCGTGAGTCTAAGCTGGGCACGGGAGCTGGGCAGTGGGCACTGCACGGAGGGGGCAAGCGGGGTGCTGGAGGGGGATTTTCACAAAGGGAGGGACATTTTGGAGGGAGCAAGGGAGAGAAGGAAAGGAAGAAAAAGGAAGGGAAGGAAAATAAAAGGGAGGGATGGAAGGGAAGGGAAAGAAAGGAAAGGAAGGGAAAGAAAAAGAAAAAACAGTAGAAGAGGCTCATTTTGTCCTAACTGTCATTTTGTCCCCAGCTTAGTTTGAAGTATAAAACACACTAACGTGAAACACTTGAGGCAATAGTCCAGTCTCCTGGATGTTTATTTCAGAGATAAAATAGGAAACCATTGGGCTTTACTCTTATTCCATTGTTGTTTCCTTTACAAGTATTCACTGATTTCAAAAAAGAGGGACGACAGAACAGTTTCGTGCCCAACATCTTTTACCCGGAATCTGCGCCGCGGCAAAGGGTCCGGAAGATTCCAGTTCTTCCCAGACGCGGATCTAAGAAGGTGGCCGCCTGCAGTGTTTCTGGGGCTAGGGCAATAGCGAAGGCGTAAAGTAAGTCACCTGCTGACTGCATCGTCCCTGCCACACGTGCACATCCACGTGCTCACTCGCAGCAGCCCGTGACCGTTACACGGAAAGCGCTGCCCCGCATCAGAGCTGGTGCACACCCCGCAGCACCCTTTCGGGAAGATTAAGGTTTTGTCTTCCTTTGATCGGAATCTGATAGAGAAGAACACTGAGACGAATTAATAATAAAGAGATCCCATTACTGTCATTTACTTCCACACTTAGAAGGACACAAAGGCCATCCTTGCATGAAGTTGTAATGCTGATTACCTTTCGGGGCTCCCTTTAGCCCCAGCTGCCTAGCAGAATCCATCAGCGTTCAAACACAGGAAGTACTGCAGCTTCACAAATTGAGACAACACGATTCAGCACCCTGACAGGGCCTTTCCCATCAAATAAGGTGGGCATGATCTCAAGTATTAGAGGAGGAATATTAACTACCCTGCGAGAGACCAGCACGGCTTTACACTTTGTAAATTTTGACTTTAGGAAGAGTGTTACGCCTCATGCTTCTGTAAAGCTAGAAAAATTCTAAAAAACATCAGTGGTGTGGGGCTGTGCTCACTCCGGCCTCTGACTCTTGACCACCACTTTCAATCCCAGTTTTTCCAATCTCTTCATGATACGTTGTCCTAGTGTTCTCAGGCTATGTTCATTTTATGTTCAAAAATTGGTTTAAGTAGAAATATACTACCTAGGAAAGGTAGTGTGACTGAGAGATGACATTCTTACCAACTTACTTGTCTGACCCGAAGTCTCTTTGTACATAGGATGATGATAATAACACCATGCTGTGAGAGTTACAGAAGGTAATATGGCATGGGACCTCTTTTCTACTCATTTGAGATCACTTCAGAAGTCTCTGTGGAAGAATCGAGAATGTGCTTCAGTTACAGGTGATTTTCCTTATGCACCCCACATCTTTTTTTCCACAGAAATTATTGTAATGAAAAAGAAGCAATAAAAGACAATTCACCTTCAGTCCTGCCACACATGACATATACTTATTCATTTATTCAATAGATATTGATTAATCACCTATTATGGGCCAGGCATTGGTCAAGATTTTAGGATTGCAGCAGGAAATGGAAAGGACAAGGGGCCCTGGTCTCAAAGAACTTATATACAAATAGCTTTCCGTATTTTCTCTTGGTATTATTGTCCATTTCAATTCTTTCTTATACAGACATATAAATATGTGGTTGTAATAACAGTACCCACATTGTAAATTTTGCTTCTTCCATCATTATTGAAGTTTTTATGTTGCTCAAACTTACAAATTTAATGTCAGCATTATATTCCACAAGTTGATGTACAATAATTGAATTACGTAGTCCCCTCATGTTGGAAATTTAGCCCCAAACCTAAACACACTCCTGAGATAAATATCCATGTGTATTATGTTTGCCTATTGATTTCTTTTATATAAATACATAAAGATAGGATTGCTGGATCAATGTATAACAACATGATATTAGTTGGATTAGGTATAAGTTTTTAAAAAATAGAATTCATCACTCGCTACCAAGTTCTTTCTGAACTGTGTTTTAAAGACAGGGTCTTGTTATGCATTTCAGGTTGGCCTTAAACTCAATGTATAGCTTGAGCTGACCTTGAACTCACAGCCATTCTCCTGCCTCAACCTCCTTAGTGCTGGGATTATACACATGTGCCACCATACCAGGGTGTGCTCTCTCAATTTGAATGCGTGATTCTAGCAGGTCTTAATTTACTAGGAAGAGAAACAAAGAGAGAAAGAAGAAGAGAAAGAGAAAACACTTGAACTAATCAACTTTAATTGTTTACATATATGGAGAAGGAGGTTAGGTCAACGTTACTCAGTAAATGTGGATCAAACAAAACTCAGTTGGGTTACCTTTGCAAAGAAATGCTAGACACACCAAAATGTACATATTTCCATTACAGATACTTATGTAAGTGTTTAGGCAAATCATAATTATTTGTTAAACACTCATTATTTTCTCTAAAGAATACAAAGGAAAGAGAAACTCCCTGAATCCCCAGGGAACTATGACCCTGTTTGGAAGTTGCATGTATGCCCGCATTGGCCTGGAAGGGACATTGCTTACCTTTGCTGATGAAGAAGCTGAGGCTAGGATGACACAGTGATGTGAGTAGAACACACGGATAAAATGCAGTGGAGTTTGTTCCAGTCCAATGTGTTCCAGAACTTCAGATTCCTTTTCATTCCAGCTTTGAAGTCTTCACACAATGAGGGAAGTGGAGAACACAAGATTTACTACTCTAATGTGGGATATGTAAATAAAGTGCTATAGGATTCCAAGCTACCCTCATTTAATAGAGGAAGGAGCCCAGAGACAATTGTATCCACGCACATCAGAAAAACGAACAGGATAGGGATCACGAGTAGAGGTGTGTTGTCCAGGGTAGCAAAAGATACTCTGTCGAGGCGGCATAGTGTGGGTTTGACAAACACTGGAGGTGAGGCATGGCTGAGTTTGAACATGATCTAATAAATGGTGGATGGTCACTGGTGCTCCCTCAATCGCGGGGTGCTAGAAAGACAGTACTGTTATATAATCTGTAAAAGCAATATTGTCTTGCTCTAGGGAAGCTGAGAGACCGGGACGCTGCTTTTCATTTTACTGAGCTTTTACATTTGTTATTAAACCCAAAAACTTCCTCTCCCTGGTCCTCAGGGCATAGGGAATAGAAAAAATAGAAAGTAGGATCAACTCAGTGTGCTCATGGGAATATCCTGAACGGGGGATGCTCGCTCAGCTCAGTGCCCTGTCTTTCCTATGGTGAGAAAGCAGAATAATAACCCCCTTGGGAAAGAGGTGCTCCATGACAGGACAAGTTCTTCCTGCTGCTGGACTTTCTCACTGCAGTCTGAATTCCAGGTAATCAGGCTTTTACTCACGAAGCCAGCCGGCATCCACAATCTGCTGACATTTTAGCCCAAAGGCCAGAGAGTACAGCGGTGGAGATTTTCCTTGTTGCACATCTTTTCCTGTCCTTAAACTGAAGGTTATAGAAACGCTGGGCCATGTGTTGAGACTCTCTCTGGAGGAGTGAGGTGTAGCAGTGAGGAGGAAGTTTCAAGTTACTACCCTATTATATTAGAAAAATATGTTCAAATAAGATTGCAGATACTATGAGGGCAGGACTTCTTCACTTTACATTTGGTTATCTCCAACCTAATTATGGAATAGTGCCTGGAAGGATGCAAGTGGCCAAGAAGTATTCGATTAGCAAGCGAATGAGCCCTATATAGTAATTGTTCACTTAATGTCTGGTGATGGCTTGTTTACTGGTTTAAAAGTTTGCCATCTCAGAATCTTCATGATTAAAAGTCAGCAAGGCAGAGCAGAGCACCAATTTTTAGAGCACTGAATTTTTTTCTCTTTGCCAAATTAAGGGAAGGTGCAAAGTAGAGGAAGAGGAAAGAAAATAGAAATATAAATCTCGTCATAAGAACAAGTGTCAGATGGGCCTTCATTATCATTAGTTTTTTAAAAGTTTGTCAATTTTAGGAAAATTTTCAGAGCTATAAATTAAATAAAAAGATAAGTGAAAATGTTATTATTTTATCCAACATCTTATTTTTAAAGACTATGATAGTAGGAGACACTCCCATAAGATATATTCATGCACATTTGTTGAATGAATGGAGTGTAGTTCCTCTCTTCAAGAATTTTATATCAAAGCTATGAGATAAAACTCCAGAGAATTGGGGCTGGGGATTTAGCTCAGCAACAAAAGCGCCTGCCTGGCAAGCGCAAGGTACTGAGTTGGGTTCCCGGTACCGGAAAAAAACAAAAAACAAACAAACAACAAAACTCCAGAGAATTGAGAAAACTTAGAAATCTTACATAGCCTACACAGCATTAATGGTTAACACCATGATTTATGTACTCAGCTACTTTCTAGAATATATGATTCAGTGTTCAGGAGGATGTCCTGAGAAATTCTGTGGTTCAATTTCTAATTCTGTATCCACATGCATGTAGACACTGGTAGGATAAGAGAGATTTGGAGGGGGAAAATCCAGATCAAATATTCATACCTAGTAAGGGAGATTTTCCTTACACACACACACACATACACACACACACAGTGAAAAAATGAAAGAATAAAAATGTAAAAGCAAGGAGTCCCCAGATGAAATCTTTCATTCTTAGATGATTGTCCTTAAACACCAGAGCTTGGGAATGAGCCCTGAGTGTGTGAGATAAGATAGGTAGTTAGTCTTATTAGTTCTCAAGTACAGCTCATTTCTGATATATCTTCTGTATCTAACCCAGACTGCACAAGATTACTTACTTCAAATGTGCAGTCCACATGCCCAATGAATTGTATGACTGGGAATGTGTAATTGTCTAACTGGGAGTGTTAGGTAACTTCCCAAGAAAAATTAATAGCCTTAACATACAGAGAAAACTATATGAAATTATATAGGTTTTTACAGATTTTAAATGTTTAAAACTCTTTAAGATATAGAACATGTGCAAAACAAATATAAGAAATGTTAAAGTGACCATGGATTAGTATGCTATAGTATGCAAGTAATAAATGGATTCCTTTGTTTCTAAATAATTATGAGCCATGACAGGATTTATAACCCAGGACAGTTAACACACAGAGGTGTAAATGCTGGTTTAGCATTAAGAATTCTGTACAGCTGTATTGATGTCTTCCTGTAGAAGTTTACATATTTTTTCTGCTTTATTTTAGAATAGGAGAGTACATGTATAGGTGAAGCATACATCTATATTTATAGTTCTATTTTCTATTCAGTACCACAGCTTACAGAGAGCATTATCAAATATTTAGAGATAAGTTGTATTTTATATCCTTACTGCTTAATACTTTCAAACTTCTACACGATATTGTCCCATGTTCATTATGTCTTGCCTGACCAATTTGTTACCAAGTCATTCATTAAACCAACGCTTACTGCATGCCTAATATATGGCAGGTGTTACGCTAGCCCCCGGATATGTAAAAATAACTGAGATGCAACACGTGCCTTGTCAGAGATCACAAACTTTTGGAGAGTGATTTAATTTCATTTAGTTATAAGAAGCCATTCATAGAATTGCAAGTATGCTTAAGTAATTCAAAACTGTTAAAGTGAATGATGTCAACATAAGAACTAGAGGAAATGTAAAACTGTTAACTGCAAAAGCTAATACAAGTGTTACTGTAGGTGTAGTTCAATGAACTAAATTCAAGTTTTAAGTTAGGGTGCTGTGATATGAGACATGATCGAGTTAAATTTTAAAATAAGACTTTTGTACCTGCAGAGAAGATGGATTAGAAGAAGGTAAAGCTAAAGACAGAGAGAAGATTGGGGGAAATTTTGAAATGCTTCAGGCATATGAATAGCTTGGATCTAAGGCCTGAGAAATAGGAATGGAGGAAAAGGGGAACATACTACAGACATTTTAAAAGCAGAATTGACAACAATCTTATCAGTCAGTATAGTATTAGGAAATCAGAGGTGAATGGGTTATAATCAAAGCTGTACGAGGTGGCAATATAATCTAAATATAAATATGACATGAGAAAGTAAAAGGCCAAGACCTGACCTTTGGGAAAGCCTGATATTTAAAAGACAAGAGAAAAAGTCACTGAAGAACACAGAAGAGAATCATAAATGATGCCCTGCTTTCCACACTGTGCAAACACAAGGAAAGCAAGAGAATTAAATTGAAGAATGACTTACATAAAACCTTAAGACATCCTCAAAACAGTCCAATGCGACCTTGCAGTTTTAACATGATGAAAAGAATTTGGCCAATGCACTTGCCTATTTAGCAGTAGAATTGAGGTTGAACCCAATGCATTCATGTCACAGCCAATTTTCCTTCAGTTATATTATGCTTCTTAATACAGTAGTATCTCGGTTCACAAACTTAATTTATTCCACAGTTCTCAGAAAGATGTCCACATTCACATTCGTGTAGGAAAGTTGTTCCAGAACGCAGAAGCAGAAGGAACACTTCCTAACTTATGGTAGGAGTTCAGCAGGATCACAAAACCAGACACATTACCAAGGAACACAAAGATCTATAGATTATAAATGCCATCTTTAACAAATTATTAGCAAGGAAATTTCAACAATGCCTAAAAGGTTGTTATGCTTAATACAGTAGTATGGAGGCAGAAGGTGAACGTTAAATCCTGTAGCTTCATGTCCAGCCCTTGGGGCAGGTTGGAGTGAAATATGAGCTCCAAAGGGTTTGAGTGACTCCACCTTCACGGCCTTGCCCACTGCAGTCCACACGGCCTCTCTTATGGGCTGGCTCCCCTCACCACCTGTTATTTTCCTCAGCAGACATTCCACATTCCTGGCATCTCAAACTTCCTGGTGTCTCACTGTACTTTAATTTTACACTCACAGCTTCATACAACAGCCTTTCAGAGGCACACGGCCTTGCCTTCTAGGATTTCTTTCGAAGAACCTCTTGCATTGCATGCTCCCCTCCAAATCACCAAACATCATGTGGATGATACCGAGGTCTGCTAGTAGTCCCCTGTGGACCTTGGGATTTGAATGCCTGGATGGCTTAAATGAATCTCAGGGATCCAATTACCAAGACAGTGGTGGTGAACCTTTCAGAGCATTCAAAGATAATAAACAATTCACCAAGACATACTTTCTGTAGGCTTACCACCAATGCCCTAGAAGGTTTCTCTTGAGCAGGTGTCACAGAGACTCACTTCATAAATAAAAGCTTTACATTTTTGCACCCTTGAACCTGGACGGTAAAGTCTGGCCATTTCCTGAGATGCCTTTAAGCGATCTTTCCTATTATCCTGATGAAAAGTACTTGGCTGCTTCTTCAGGCTAATCTTTTTAGCAACCATTGCTCTCCTCATTCTCCTTGACAATGACTTTCCAAGTGCTTTCCTTCTGGACAAGCTTGACTAATTAGACTCTATTTTTTGCTCATGATACTCACTGTAGATGTAAGCACAAGCAGCCAGAAGTACTCACACAACAGCTTGAATGTTGGGAAGCCTTGATATTTTCTCCACTAGGTTAATTGCTACCATTAGCAGACTACCGTTAGTCTACTGCCATTAATCTCAGTGTCCCACCGTTATGGTTTGTGTCTAGATGTCCCTGCAAAGCCTCATGCAGTCATGGGGCAGACTTCTAGAGTTTTTGATTGACTC